TTAGCTTCTAGTAGCTTGACAATGGTGGATACCAATATCTTCTTCAACTTTTGTCTTCAATCAGTACATGATGGAACCAAATAAGCTAGATAATCTTCTTCCATCTCCAATTGATACTTCAATTTTTGAATACCTCAATAGAATTCCAAATGGGTGTTGGAACAACAAACTGGAAATAGGATTAAGGATTTCGAATTTCCTTTTTTTTTTTTTCATTTCAAGCAAAAACCAAAGAATTATAAGAATGATTCTTTAGCCTAGGCTCTTGATACCAAATGATAACAACCAAAATGCAACAACAAGAAATGAGACTTGAAAATCAAATAAAGAAAGGGAAGCGAGACACAAATATTGATGAGATATTAGTAATAACTAAAATTAAATTCTAATCACCCCTAATACAATCAACAAAAGCACCTACACTAATAGAATCTTCAAGAGGAAGACAAACCTCTTACAAATTTTAGGGCTACTTCAAAAGCAACCACAAGTCTACCTTCAAGCTCACAAAATACATAGCAATATTCAATGTAGTCTAAGAAATAAAAGATGACCTAATATTTTCTATTTATACTTAGGTTTTTATAATGACAAAAAAGACTCTTAGGTGCTTGCGCTCTCCAGTTGTAATTGGGCCTCTTCACATGAACTTGGGCCACCATCTGAATATCATTTGGATGAAATTGTAGACTCTATTAGGCTTTTCCAAGAGATCATTCAAATCTTCCAACTTCATCAAATGCATCCCAATAACTTGAAGGTCCTTGGCTTGACTCTTAGTAAAACGGTCTTGAAGGCATAGGCATAATGTGATCAATAATAGTTGTTGCTAAAAATCTTAACAAATTATTAACTTTACCGCCAATTTCTTTAGCAACAACGGATATTGTTGGCAAAAAAACTAATTTTGTCGCAACAATAATTTTCGTTGGTACATGTGTTCATAATTCACGACTTCATTGACTTTGTACCAACAACAAATAACTTATGACAATGATATATATTGTTGCGCTAAGTTACCTTTTGGCAACAATATTTTCTGTTGTTGCATAGTTTACTGTAACGGAGTGTAACGACTTCTTTGTCGTTACCAAAAATATTTCTGGCAACAACATTGAATACATGGCAACAAAATTTGTTGTTGTGAAATGCCTTCTTTCTTGTATGCATGAAGCTCAAGACTCTGATTTGTTATGTTCTTGTACTGTACAGTTCTTTTACTTTGTATATATATAATATACATTATTTACCAAAAAAAATGTAATGTTTACACACATGGTTAATCATAATTAAGTGAGAAAATTCAATAACTAAACACATGTTAAACATTTATTGAATTAGCATAACCACTAGGTACTGATAAGTTTTTACCCCTACTTGTGTACCAAACTAAGTTATTCAACTGGCAAGAGGGGTTGCTCCGATACTCAGCACCCCTACCTACAACTTCAGAATTGTGGGTTCGAATCACCAAAACCCAACAGATAAGATCAAAGGGGAGGGAAATAAAATAAAATAAAAAAACTAAGTAATTCAACTTTAAACTTCACACTAAAATAAAAATATGCTAACTAATCATATATAGTTAGGTGATTAAAAATTATTTAAAGGATACATGCCATATAATTCTTATTTATTAATTAACTTAGTGCAAGTAAAATGTGTAGCAGTGCAATAGCTACTCCCTAATTAGGATACTCTTTGATGACAAATCGAAGCAAAATCACAAAATGAGTCTTGTTTTCTCTTCCCTGTCTGCTTTTTCCTTTAAGGTTTTCTACGTTGATAAGTCCCAAAATTTTAGCGGCTCGACACCCTTCTTTTTATGTTTCTTGGTCCTAATCATTTGTGTGGAAAACTTACATTGTGCTTTAGAAATAATTAAATTCGGACGTGTCCTTTTGGAACAAGGCAGAAATTTGATAAATATGTTGGTGAAAATCAATACAAACTTTCTACTTCTCCGAAAATTTTGGTGTCAATATATTCCGTTCTATGCGCCTCTATTGATGCTCGTCTTTATTCTCAGCTCCCAAGTCTTCATTTTTCACTTTTCGTATCACTTTCATTTGTGTTCTTGTTCTACATGAAAATAGAAAGATACTAGTGACACTAATATAAATAGATATAGAATGTAGATATTTATTTATGTGTGAAAAATATCATCACATGTATCTCGGTCAATCAATTTATATTGTGATTAAAGTTGAGATTAGTTTGTGACTTCAAATAGAACACATAATGGCCTCCGTCATCAACTTACCATATTTTAATTCATAATTTCCTCTTTGTTTGGTTTACACAGAGGGAAAGGACCAAAATAAATACAATATTGTAAACATATGCCGCATCTTCAATTTACACAAATTTCTTTTCCATAAATAGAATTTCAAAGTTCTTAAACTTTTGTCCATATTCATAGCTAGCTAAAGACGACAGATTAATATTCAATATATAAATTAATTTTTTAAAAATAGAAACCTTTTCTGTTACACACTAATTACACTGGGGAGATTAGGGAAGGGATGGGGAGGGGACAACCAATATTGAAGCTACACCGATTGTGTGGGAGATTTTCAATGGTATCACCCGACTATAAATCTTGATATATTATAGTTTATTTCATTTTCGTCCTAACTTTCCTCTTTAAAAGAAGATTGGAAGAAAAATATCGACCTTGGACATATTTATCAATAATTACTGCTATTTCCATTTCCCTTTCTCTTAATTTTCTTCGTTTTTTTCCTTTTGAAGGCTACAATAAAGGAGGAAAGAAAGCAGTAGCCAATGAACCGCCTTTAGAAAGATCGTAATCACAACTTTATTGCTTCCCACCGCCACATCAATGAAATATGAAGAAACCAAGCCTCACGCAAACGATAACGAAAGGAGAACAACCAAGGAGAAAGAAGACTGAAGAGTATAAGAAAATAGAACCAAAAAAAAAAAAGGAACATTACAAACAACCGGCTGGATTTACTGTTTAATTTTTTTAGTCGAAATATACAAATTATATATTTATTATACACAATTATGTAATATATTTTACACATGAATTATATATATATATATATAATATATCGGCTATTTTAAGTTTAAATAGTTGGGTGGACGATTATTTAGGTTATTGTTCAAGAAAAAAAGGAAACAATTTTTCACTGAATTAACGGCGGAAATTATTTCGGTCAAAAGGGGCCAACTCAGCCAACCATATCATCGTTCGTGAATCTGACTGGACATGATGGGACCCATTTCTTCACTTTTCAGAACTTCCACGTGTTCCCCATCAACTGACGGTGAGCCACCCCAATACCTCACCCATTCATTTATGTGTCTACTCACCGTTTCAATTATTCAGCTGCCTGCCCACCTTCTCCATTTTTAACTCTGTTTTTTTTTCCCCGCAAATAACGTAACATACATAATTCTCGCTAAGTAATAAGGATCATTAGCACTATTTTAGAAAATACAACGACCGAAAGAATGTTCTTTAGACTTTAATTGAGTTAAGCAGAGTTGAATTAATATATTATATAAACAGATTTGGTTAAACTATAGAGCTACACCTCTTTCTAGACAGTATATATGGATCTTGTAGGTCCCAGATTTTCCAAATAGATTTATATATAATATTTGTTGTGCTATAATTTGAATTTGGTACTTTGTGTTTGTGACATGACTATTTCTTATACAAAGTTAAAAAAAAAAAAAAGGATGGTATAATGTATATATTCACTATTTTTCTTCTTCTAATAAGCGATAAATTTTTTCAAAAGATAGTATACCCAATCATCCAACCTAACTCTTAAACCATTTTCACAAAAACATTAAGAAACTCGTATCAAAAGTATTAAAGAATAAGATTTTAAGCTTCTCAAATAAGAGATAATTTATTGACATTAGTAGAAGTTTGCGAGGATCCAAAAACTGAAAATGAAGCTACTTCTTTAGCAAGATATGAGCTTGAATTTTAGTTCTTAGTGGGCATGACTATTAATTACAATATATTAATTATTATTAACTCAGTTAGTAAAAGTATACAATCAAAAGATATGCATATTGATGTTATCATAGATCGCTAAGAGGTCTTATTTCTTTTTTGTCTTCAAAATCATAGAGAAGAAGAATTTGCAACCTTGAATGTACAAATTAAGATCACCAAACGATGAAAGTCTTAATCTTGAATATGTTTTAAAACATAATGTCATTGATAGCTTTAACATATTTTTCGAACAAAAAATATTAAGAGAAATAGTATAAGTAGAAGATACTACTTTAAATAATATATTCAATCAAATTAAAAAAAATTAATTATTTTTCGAATGCATATGTTACTTACAGAATAATTTTAATAATTCTTGTAACAGTTCCCTCAATGGAAATAGAACAAAATTAAAATTGATAAAATTTTTCCTTAGATTAACAACGGTTCAAGAGAGAATAAATGGATTAATCGTAACCGATTGAAGAAGCATTATTAATGACTCGTATCTACAAAAGCTAAAATAATAAATTTCAAATAAAAATTATGGTAAATAAATTAAATCCTTTCATTAAAGTTTAGCTTTAAACCTCTAATTTTAGTGAGCCGCCCCCATAGAACCACGTCATTTAGGTGATTAAACCAGAGGCAATAGCTAATCGGGTAATTCTATGATTTTCTAGCTCAATCCTTGAAATTGTGATTTAATCTTGTTTCACCCAAAAAAGCAAACAAGAAAATCTTGTTAGTTGTTTCACCTCCACAGCATTAATCTTGTGGTGCTAGGCTGCTAGCTAGAAAGCAAAAAGGATAAAAGAAAATTCCCTCCATATCTAACCCGGTCCAGCCAAAAAACCGGTCAAATCGGTTCGAAGAAAACGGTCAAAACTCTCCTCATCGGTTTCTCAACCCCATCCACTGACATTCCACCACGTGTAATGACCCTAGTGGTGTAGCCCCAGGAATCCAATGACACAACTACTTTCTCACTTTCCCCCCCTATATAAAACGGTCTTATATCGTAGACCTCTTTACTTGTAAGTAGTCTCGAGCAACTAAATATGGCGCGAAAAAATTGCTGCTTTCCGGCAGGTTTCCCGTCATTTTCCCTCACTCTAGCTCTCATTTTCTTCCTCTCCGTCAATCCCCTCCGGTATTGCTCTGCCGGTGGCCATGACTACCGTGACGCCCTCCGAAAAAGCATCCTCTTCTTCGAAGGCCAACGCTCCGGCAAACTTCCGCCCGACCAACGTATTAAGTGGCGTAAAGACTCCGCCTTGCACGATGGCGCCTCCGCCGGAGTAAGTAACAATTATAATATCTCAATCCCAAGCTAGTTGGAATGTAAATATTCAAAATTAATTGATGACTAACTTTTTACTTTTTAACTAGCAATTAATATGAACCTAAATTACACTTGCAATTTTGTACAGGTGGACTTGACAGGAGGTTACTATGATGCCGGAGACAACGTCAAATTCGTGTTTCCAATGGCGTTCACTACCACATTGTTGTCGTGGAGCATAATAGACTTCAAAAGGAACATCGGAAGTGAGCTTGGAAACGCCGTGAAAGCAGTGAAGTGGGCGACGGATTTCTTGTTAAAAGCGACGGCTAAGGAAGGCGTCATATATGTGCAAGTGGGTGATGCATTTTCTGACCATAGCTGTTGGGAAAGGCCAGAAGATATGGACACTTTGAGAACTGTTTACAAGATTGATCAGAATCATCCTGGATCAGACGTCGCCGGTGAAATCGCCGCCGCTTTGGCCGCCGCGTCCATTGTTTTCCGGTCACTCGACTCTTCTTACTCTAGTCTCCTACTTGATCGTGCCGTTAAAGTAAGTTATGCTGTTTCTCTTTGGCCTTTTCTGTACTGTTTTTAGCTTTTCTCTTTTCGCTTTTTTCACTTTTTGCTTTTTTTGTTCCGGAATAACAGTTGTTTGCAATGTATATATAAAATATACGTACAACTATACACTTTTTAGCAACTTAGGTTAATATTGACATTGTATATTTAAAAAGTGTCTTAATTAAGATTTAAGACATTATAAGGAATAATATATATGTTGTTGCATGAGGCTATCCTACATTATCGGGTGTAATTATTAAGTATGGACATAAAGTTTAAGAGAGTGAAATAATATAATTTGGCAAATCAAGGATAGGTCCATAAAGTGTGGATTCATTCTCTAAAGTCTCAAAAGCGAAATGCTTTGGGAAGTGTTGTGTTAGTGTCCTTTTCTGGATATTGGTCTGGTAGCATTAAATAAGTTTGTTGGCTCCTCCCAAGAATTTACCCATATTGGTAATTGGCCTTATTACCAGTAGCATTTTTCTTTAGTGTTTTTTCCCCATTTTGTCAAGCTAAAGCTAAGTTACTAGTGTGGACATAGTTATTTCGTGTAACCATAGTCATTTTGCATGTGAATAGATGGTGTGAACAATGACTGGCGGGGAATCATCATATCATTTGTGTTTTAAACAAGATCTTGCTTTTGGAAATAATAAGATTACATTCAGTATAACTTAGATAAAAACACCCTCACCACATTCCAAAAATATCACTATCAACCCCAGAAAAAGGAAAAAGATAATATGACCGTTGTATTAAAACGGTTTCATGTTTTGTAGGTTTTCGAGTTTGCCAACAGGCACAGAGGTGCATACAGCTCCAGTTTGCACTCTGCGGTTTGCCCTTTTTACTGTGATTTTGATGGATACCAGGTAACTTTAGTTTTATTAAGAAAATCATCTTGGTCGTTGATTAAGTTAATCAGAATTAATTTTTAGTATATATATTATCAGCGTATATTTACCTAAATAAATGTTTTTGGTTATGGTTTATATTAAACAGGACGAACTGCTTTGGGGTGCGGCGTGGCTACACAAAGCAACAAGGAGGCGTCAATACAGAGAGTACATAGTGAAAAATGAGGTTATTTTAAGAGCTGGAGACACCATTAATGAATTCGGTTGGGATAACAAACACGCTGGGATTAATGTCCTCATTTCCAAGGTTAGTCTGTTCTAGACTTAATTTATAACCTGGATAAGGAGATATTACTATTCATTTCATATTCGTCTTTTTCTTGGTTCATTATATATATACACTGGTATTGGTTTCTTTCTTGTGTCTGTACAGTACTTATCAAATCCTTGTCTCATTTATGACTTAGATATATTCTTCTGGTACTGTGATTATCTATTCTTGACTTGTTCAGAAAAAATGACTGCCAATCACATGGTGTAGATATAGTTATCTATATCAGTGTTTAGTGGATATCCATTGGTGGGGTCCTCCTTGGCTACTGTTCTTTGAAAATTAGAGCAAGTGTGTGATTATTTCACATGATAGTTTACGTTATGGGTAAAAATGGAAGTAGGAAAAAAGATTGACTTGAAAGGTGAAACCTACAGAAGTGCTCCATGTGATTTGTATATGCAAAAAACAGGTAAAATTAAAATGACCCAAAAAACAAGAGGTTGGGAGTACTCTTTCAAGTAAAGGGTATGTAGTAAGAGAGAGGTCCAACTTGGATCAGTGACTTTACTGGTGTAAGTAAGCATGTGCTAAAAGTTGTGGAGCTCAGTTGCTTATCTTACCTATACACAAAGATATGATACAAGTGGCAACTGTCTGCTTTATATTTTCGAAAACAGTGTGATTATGACTTACCATTATACTTCTGTTTTGGCATAGATTATTGGTCCTTTTATAAGTAAAATTTTGCCCACAACATATATATATATATCTGACAACTGTTGGCTTGTTAACTGTGCTTAGTTTTTTCTTCCCACCAACAACAACTAGCTAGATTCTCCTTATCAAGATTTAATTATTATTAGCTATTATTTACCACAAGTTGGACTACACTGGTTATGTTGTTATTTTTTGTTGTTGTTTATCTCAAGTTGTATAGGTTATTGAGGACCCAAGTAGGGGAGCGATCGAAACAAATTACTCCTTCCGACTCATAATAAGTGTCTTCTTCGCCTTTTCTTTGGTCCAAAATAAGTGTCCTTTTATATTATCAAAAAGGCATTAACTTTATTTTTCCAAAATTTACCATTGTTTACATATTCCAAGGTGTCAAGTTAACAATATACAAATTTTAATTGGGGGTAATTTAGTCAAAATACCTTCTTTTTTTTTTATCTAGGATTTAGTATTTTCTTAAGAGATATGTCAATTGTCAAAGGTTAAAAAGTCACTTATTATGGATTGGAGAGCGTATAATTAGGAGGACTAATAATGTTTAACATTTTGACAGGAAGTGTTGATGGGAAGAGCACCAGATCTAAAATCGTTTCAAGTAAATGCAGATGCATTCATCTGCTCAATACTACCTGGAATTTCTCATCCCCAAGTGCAATATTCTCCAGGTAAATAAGACATCATCTGGCTACTACTTTCGAAAAGTGAATGCTGAAGATATACTTAATAATAAATAATATGAAAGAACCGTGAGTGAATTAGAATATATTATAATACTAATATGTTTTGTCATTTTTGTTGTTGTTGGTGAGAAGGTGGACTCATTGTCAAACCTGGCGTTTGTAACATGCAGCATGTGACATCCTTGTCCTTCCTACTGTTGGCTTACTCTAATTATCTAAGCCACGCCAATCATGCCGTGCCATGTGGCTCCATGTCAGCCACCCCTGCTCTCCTCAAACACATTGCCAAACGTCAGGTAATTTTGCACCCATCCAATGTAACATTGTTTGAAACTTTGAACATACATAACTTCTATACAGTAATAATTTATTTTAGCAGACCACATAAAAAATAAGTATAAATAATTACTAGTTCCTAACAAATGAGATTCAGAACCTAAAAAATATGGCAGGTTGCTTGTTGCAATAGGTAGAAATACACTTTCAGTATAACTGTATAAGTAAGTATTCCTACATTGTCAATACATATAACGTATAAATCATTATAGAATTCGTAAAATGTTTCCAGTTTAGAATTCTTAAATTAGGACCAAGATTGGAAACAATGAAATTAGAACCTACTAGTCCGTTAAATTTCAAGGAATGAGACAGGTTAAGGTTTAGGTTCTCGTCTGCACCTAATGTTGTTATAAAGTTCAAATAACGATATACAGTTCACTTCTCACTCTCGCTATACAACCAAAATTAAAAGGACCCCATGTTCTTTAATTTCCTCAAATTGCGGTGAATGAATTGATACAACCTAAAAGGTGATTCTTGAAAAATCTCGTGGACCCATTTGCACATTTCAAACTCTTAAATCTTAATTACATTTTGTTGCAAGAAATCAATAATAATGATATGAGATCTCACGGATTATTTTTCCACATATCAATCCATCCTAGTCGTTCTATTGTTACTGTTTCTTTTTCATTATTGTATTTATTTTCAAGAATATTATCGCTATATTGAGTCGAAGGTCTATCAGAACATGTTCTTTACCTTCACACGATAGGGAACATGCTAAGTACCTTCACAGGAAGGTATATGATATTATATACTGAGGGCTATAATATCATATCATATCTTTAATAAAACAATATTTTGGGCCTTACAGGTAGATTACATTCTTGGAGATAATCCTCAAAGAATGTCATACATGGTGGGGTATGGTCCACGTTACCCATTAAGGATTCACCACAGAGGCAGCTCTTTACCATCAGTGGCGGCCCACCCAGCCCGAATTGGGTGTAAAGGAGGGTCCAATTATTTCTTCTCACCAAATCCAAATCCAAATCGCTTGATTGGTGCTGTTGTTGGTGGGCCCAATATTACTGATTCCTTCCCAGACGCAAGGCCTTTCTTTCAGGAGTCGGAGCCCACTACTTATGTTAATGCGCCATTGGTGGGCCTTTTGGCTTACTTTTCAGCCCATCCTTGATCTTTCATTGTAAAGAGAGAATGTAGTGGTGTGCAAAGGCAAAGGCAAAGGCCACCCTCTCTATATATTAATATTATTGTTCAACATTCTAATTGTTCCCTATTCAATCAATGAAGAAAGTACTACGACTTGTCTTTTTAATTCACTATACAATATGCCAACTATTAATACAACAATGTCTTGTTCCCTATTCAATCAATGAACAAAGTACTGCAAGAATCATTTTTTCACTATATATGCCAACTATTAACACATCATTGTCTTCTTTGACTTCTCCATGTGCCTTCAATTTAAAATTAAGATAGGTTAGTGAGAAATATAATTTCTGTCCATAAGTGATAGAAAGTCATTTTTTCTCTTTTAGTGAAACTACTTTCTTCTTTTTTTGTGGAAGTGACTTCCATCTTACCAAACATGAGTGTGAAAATTAGTGATAGAGTTTATGAGAAGAAACTGATTGTTTCACTGATCTTATTAATAAACAAGACTGTATATATACAATGCTGCGGAGGCTTGTCAAACGTGATCTAATAGACTACATAATAAAAAAGAGAGTCTTATACAAACTATACATTGGAAGGAGTCCTATCCTATTCTAAGTCTTCCAATACTCTCCCTCAAGGTGGAGCATGTGGATTATACATGCCCAGCTTGCCTAGTAGACAATGGAATTCCTGAGCCCCCAAAGACTTAGTGAAGAAATCTGTTAACTGATGCTGATGAGCGCCACACTTTAGTTTGTTTCTTTGATTTCCAACCAATAGGTGCAGCTCCTAACATAATGAAATACCCAAAAACGTAGCGACGTATCATTGGACAACTTGCCTAGTCAGAGTCACAGTACACCATTAGTTGCAAGGTGTTACTGGTCGGCAATAGAATTCCTTGGCCTGGGTTAGACTTCAAATATCGTAACACTCTTATCGCATGTATCCAGTGATCTTGCACGGGACTTTGTATAGACTGGCTCAAAATGTGGACATCATATGTTATGTCTGGCCTCGTAATTGTGAGGTACAACAAGCGTCAACCCATCCTTCTATACTGTGAGGGTTTCGTGAGAGGTTCGCCGGCTTCTTTAGAGAGATAATGCCTCTGTTCCATTGGAGTAGAACTAGGTTTTGCATTCGTAAAGCCAACTTCCTTAAGTATATCCAACACATATTTTCGTTGGTTTAGGAATAGACCTTTTGGTGATCTAGCAACAGTTATATCGTCATTGCCTGTCGATATTCCTTGAACAATTTGCATTGACCTTCGTCATTTCCTGTCAATATTGTTACACCCCATGTTTTTGTACATGAGAGTATTCGTAAGTCAATTGATGTATTGTGATGACCCAACCCGTCGTCTCATGTATTATAGCCCCGTTTCCCCCATTTATTGCTCTTTCATGTTTTACTATCAGCAACGGGTGAATTAGAGTTGAATTGAATTGGTTTGGATAGGAAATGAGACACTTAGTCTCTTTAAGGAAGGTTTGGTTTGGAAAAGTCAACCGAACGTTGACTTATTAGTTAGAAGGCTCGGATGTGAATTCCGGTGATTCGGTTTGCTTCGGGAGGTGATTTGTGACTCAGGAGTGCGATCGGAAGTGATTTTGGAGGTCCGGAGTAGAATTAGGCTTGAATTGGCAAAGTTGGCACTTTGGCGAATTCCGGTGGATAGGAGAGATTTGATCTGAGGATCGGAATGGAATTCCGAGAGTTGCAGTAGCTCCATTAGGTGATTTTGGATATGTGTGCAAAGTTTCAGGTCATTCGGAGGTGTTTAGGTCGGGTTTTTGATCGAATGTGCAATTCGGAGGTTTTTAAGAAACATAGGCTTTGATTTGATGAAATTTGAGGATTTTGATGTTAACGATAATGTTTCGAGGGTTCGAGCAAGTTTGAATAAGGTAACAGAACATGTCTGTGCTTTTGGTTGAGGTCCCGGGGGCCTCGGAGTGAGTTCGGGTGTTTAAACGAGAGTTTTGAAGTTTGCTTCAGGTCTGTTGTTGTTGTCATCTGGTATTTCCGCTTCTGCAGAAATGGACCGTAGAAGCAGTTCCGCAGAAGCGGGTGAAGGAGCGCAGAAGCGGTTCGTGGCCTGGTGAGGAGATTCCGCAAAAGCGGAATATAGTCCGCAAAAGCGAGTCCGCAGGAGCGGACTGTCAACCGCAGGAGCGGTACTGGGTGATCCGCAGAAGCGGATTTTGGGATGCAAAAGCGAAAATTGTAACTTTAATGAAAACCGCTTAAGCGGACTTCTGACCGCAGAAGCGGTCCCGCATAAGCGGAAGCGGGACCGCAGAAGCGAAAAACAACTGTTACAGAAGGGTTTAAAATATTAAATTTCATCCGCGAACAAGAGTTGGTTTCTACCATTTTTCAGCAACTTGGAGAGCTTTGGGCGAGAATTTTCGAGAGTTTTGACTGAGATTCAATTGGAGGTAAGTCTCTTGGCCTAATTATTCGAGTTTATGGTAGAAGATACATGTAAATTATGGAAAATTCATCAAAAACGGGTCAAGCTAGGGCTTGGAAAGTTGTGATGTAAAAACGGATTTTGAAAGGGCATTTGAACTCCGAATTTGGTAAAATTGGTATGTGTAGACTCGTGGCGAGACGAGGAATCCAGTGATGTAAATTTCGTAATTTTTCGAGAAGTGGGTCCGGGGCTCGGGTTTTGCCAACTTCGTGAATTTTGGTATTTTTCGAGTCTTTTCGATTGGGTTATGTTTCTTTAGCCTATTGTAATGTATTCGTTGTGGTTTTAATCAGATTCGGCGTGCGAAGAGGTTGATTCGAAAGGCAAAGGCATAGCGAGCTAGACTTGTGGCCGGCTTGAGGTGAGTAATAGATGTAGATGATGACCTGAGGGTTTGAAACCCCGGTATATCACATTGTGACGCTATATTGAGGCGAGACACGTACTCTATGACGAGTGCGGGGTCGATTGTGATTGGAGATTGTGACCTAGTCCGTTCCGATTGATGTTTGTACTGTGTTCTTGACTAGAAATTGTTTGGTAATCATCCTACTTGGAGTTTTATGAATATGTTTGGGGGCTTTGTGCCTATCATTTGCATCCTTCAGGGATCCTTATCACTGTTTCTATGATGCTTAGCATATTTTATGATATCAATCCTGAGTTAGACACTGCCTCGAAATATTTAGTAAATAAATAAAGGTTTAAACACTTAGCTCTATAATTCCTAATAATTGAAACTAAAAATGAACAATTTGACTGTGCCCGAGTGGCTTGCATGCATATATATATATGGACTGAGTGTGGATCGGGCTGCACGCCGCAGCGAATGCTACGATAATATTGCGCTTGGGCTGTAGGAGCCGGAACCCCCACAGTGAGCGCGGGTACCCAAATGGATCGGGCTGCGCGCCGCAGCGGTCATGTGCATTGCATTGCATTCATGCATTTTATATCTGTTGGTCTTAATTGTCATTGTTTTTCAGCAAGAATTGGTACACAGGTAGAGCTGAGCACAGCATTTCATCCCCGGACGGACGGGCAGTCCGAGCGTATCATTCAGATATTGGAGGACATGTTGCGTGCCTGTGTTAATTGATTTTGGAGGTTCTTGGGCTGAGTTCTTGCCACTTTGCAGAGTTCGCGTACAACAACAGCTATCGGTCCAGCATTCAGATGGCACCGTATGAGCTTATATGGAAGACGGTGTAGATCTCGGTTGGTTGGTTTGAGCCCGGCGAGGCTAGACTATTGGGGACAGAGTTGGTTCAGGATGCCTTAGAGAAAGGTGAAAGTGATCCAGAGAGACTTCGTACAGCTCAGTCGCATCAGAAGAGTTATGCGGACCGAAGGTTCGAGACGTATCCTACATGGTGGGCGAGAAGGTCTTGTTGAAGGTTTCGCCTATGAAGGGCGTTATGAGATTTGGAAAGAAAGGAAAGTTGAGTCCCACGGTTCATTGGTCCTTTTGAGATACTTAGGAGAGTTGGGGAGGTGCCTACATGCTTGCTTTGCCACCAGCTTGTCGGGAGTTCACCCGGTATTTCATGTTCTATGCTCCGGAAGTATGTTGGGGACCCGTCCCATGTGTTAGACTTCAGCACGGTTCAGTTGGATGATGACTTGACTTATGATGTGGAGCCAGTGGCTATTTTGGGTCGTCAAGTTCGGAGATTGAGATCAAAGGATATAGCTTCGGTAAAGGTGCAGTGGAGAGGTCGGCTCGTAGAGGAAGCTACTTGGGAGACTGAGCAGGAGATGCGGAGCAGATATCCTCACCTATTTGAGACCTCAGGTATGCTTCTCGACCCGCTCGAGGACGAGCGTTGTTTAAGTTGGGAGGGTGACGACCCAACCCATCGTCTCATGTATTACAGCCACATTTTTCCCCCATTTACTGCTCTTTCATGTTTTATTATCAGCAACGGTGTGAGTTAGAGTTGAATTGAGTTGGTTTGGATAGGAAATGAGACACTTAGTCTATTTAAGGAAGGTTTGGTTTGGAAAGTCAACCGAACGTTAACTTATTAGTTAGAAGGCTCGGATGTGAATTCCGGTGATTCGGTTTGCTTCGGGAGGTGATTTGTGACTCAGGAGTGCGATCGGAAGTGATTTTAGAGGTCCGGAGTAGAATTAGGCTTGAATTGGCAAAGTTGGCACTTTGGCGAATTCCGGTGATAGGAGAGATTTGATCTGAGGATCGGAATGGAATTCAGAGAGTTGCAGTAGATCCGTTAGGTGATTTTGGATATGTGTGCAAAGTTTCAGGTCATTGGAGGTGTTTGGTCGGGTTTTTGATCGAATGTGCAATTCAGAGGTGTTTAAGAAACATAGGCTTTGATTTGATGAAATTTGAGGATTTTGATGTTAACGATAGTGTTTCGAGGGTTCGAGCAAGTTTGAATAAGGTAATCAGAAACATGTCTGTGCTTTTGGTTGAGGTCCCGGGGGCCTCGGAGTGAGTTCGGGTGTTTAAACGAGAGTTTTGAAGTTTGCTTCAGGTCTGTTGTTGCTGTCATCTGATATTTCCGCTTCTGCGGAAATGGACCGCAGAAGCGGTTCCGCAGAAGCGGGTGAAGGAGCGCAGAAGCGGTTCGTGGCCTGGTGAGGAGATTCCGCAAAAGCGGAATATAGTCCGCAAAAGCGAGTCCGCAGGAGCGGACTGTCAACCG